GGGACGATGTCCCGCATGCTCGCGAGGATCAGCTTCGCGCGGCAGCGGGCGCGCGCATCGGCCGACGCGCCCAGCTGTCTTCTCCGTCGGGGGGGCTGTTCTCACTCGAAATCTGTCGGGCGCCGTGCCCCTCAGCAAGGCGGGCAATCTTGAGATCGCGCGCGCTGGCGCTTGCTTCGACGTCGCGGGTTTTCGGGGGGGCCGCGGCAGAGCAATGCTATAGAGCGCAGGGTTTCATTATGATGTGCTCGTTGCCCGCGCGGACGCTCTTGGGTTTTATGCCTGCGGCCGTGGGCCCGCGCATCGTTTACTGCAAATCGCCCATTAGCATGTGTGCGGTCCCAGGCTGTTGTTCGCTATGTTGCAGCAGCCTGGCAGACGCGTGCGTCGTGGCATTTCAGTTGGGCGCGCCCCGCATGGGCTTCCGCCCTTTCATGCCTAAGATGGTTGGTTGGGCGCGCGTGATTCTTTGCTTGCGCATGCCCGCGCAAGGCGCTCTGGTCTTGAGCGGCGCTTTGCTTTCGACGCCAATGCCCGCGTTGGCTCTGTCGAATCCTCTGGAACCCGACAGCGCAATCCAACCGCGAGAACGATGACGGCGGGAGATTTCGTTCATTCTGACCCGTGAGTTTGCTGCTGCCAACACGCGTTTTCCTGCCAGTGCGACGTGGGCCTCTTCCAGGAACGCGGGCGCGCGGATTGACAGCGTTGGCGCGCCCGTGGCTGTCCTCCCCCTTGCGGAGCAGTGTTGGATTGGCAAATCCGTGGGCCACGCCCTGGGGCAGCGTGGAGACCATCTCGTTTGTGCCACGCGCGCGCGCCCCTGTCCTGGGAAATTCCGAGCAAGTGCTTTCCGCCAATATGTCATTCACAGTCAATGAGCGTGCTCTTGCTGACACATTGCGACGTCAGGCTGTCCAGAGCGATGTTCGGTGGCGCCGGGCCCTTGTCCAAGCCTGCGATGGTCGCCCTGGAACTCTTGGGGCGCTTGTCTGTCAGAGCGCCCGTCGCCGATTCGGGTGCGCCAGAAACGGCCCCAGGCAAACGTGGATTTCGCTTCAGACGTCGCGAGCGCCGCGGCGGCCAGTAGCATGGGCGCGCACAGCTGCAGCTTGCTTCTGCTTCGTGCTGACGTGCGCTAGCTGTCCCCGATCCCACTGCGCGGATTCGCGCGCGCGCCGCAATCGACGTTTGCAGCCGCACGGCGACAGCATGGCCCCTATATCCCGGATCGCCTCTCAGATTGCCAGGCTTCAGGATCAGTCGTGCCGTGTCGTTGAGACAGAGGGATACCGCCAGATGTTCTTTGATGCCGTGGCGGTCAATTCAAACGCGCGAGGCGCACGGCGATGCGCGCGGCTCTTGCGCTGTCATTCGGGCCCTCGCCGGTCGCGCGCTTTGCCCAACCTCTGTTGTTTATGAGTTGAACGGCGCTGTCGCTGACGGCAAGGAGTCGCTCGAGCAGAGGCGGCAGTGACAGTTTGCCCCGTTTTTTTGCTGGTCGCGTTTTGCCCAAGACTGCCGTGCGCGAGCCTACGCGCGATCCCTCCACCATGCCATGCACTTTTAAGCTCGGTCCGGAGGTCCCTGTTAGCGCAATTGTCCAGCTTGGGGACAATGGCGGGGATGGACTTGATCTGATTCCCGCTGAGGTCCTCAAGGCTGGCGACAGCGCGTCTTCGGTCCGCTACTCGGATGTGTGCCGTCGGATTGACGTGAGCGCCTCCTGGCCGAGCCAATGGCGGGGCGGCCGAGTCGTCGACCTGCGCAGAGGAAGGGGGGGGTCGCTGCGTCTGTGACAAAAGCCGCGGCCTGCTCCCTGCAGACGTCGAGAGCCGTCACGGGCATTAACAAAGACGCGTGCGAAGAGCACCACGCGTCACGCATTGCACCTGGCCAGCAGGGGGCCGTGGCTGGTCGCGGCACGGATTTCGCCCCTTGCATTGCCCGTCGAGGCATCTGCGTTGTCCGTTTGGTCCATGTGCGTTTTTTTTCGAAGACTTCGCAAAAGCCTTTGACGAAGTGGCGCGGCAGCTCGTTCTTGGATTGGGGCGCATCGCCCCGCTGACCAGTTACCCCATACTTTGTCTTTTGGTGTCGCTGAGAAATTTGCGCATTGAATCTGCAGTTGCATTGGGGCCCGCAGTTGCGTCGTGCAGCAGCGGGGCTTCGGCTCGGAGGCTGCTAGGATCGCTGAGTCCTTGCGCGCTGGCGCCTGGTTGTCTGTTGGTTCCCTCGACGTGGTCGCGCTGAGTTTCGGGGGCGGCCGCCAAGGTTGCAAACTGGGGCTGTTGCTTGCCAGCGCTGCTTACGCTGTGGCGTTGGACGTGCTTCCATGGGAGTTGAGCGAGGCCGGCACTTCCTTGCGCGCGCACGTCGAGGGCCAGCGTTTTTGCCCCCCCCGAGTGGCGGCAACCCGCCAGTGCGCGCTTTCAGCGCCCGCTCCGTTGGCGCAGCGTTCTTCGAAGAGGTGGCCGGCGCAACTTTTGTCGTCGATGAAGCCGGTGTCGTTATGGCGTCGACTGTTGCCCGCCTCGACGTTGCCGTCGACAGGTTGCCGGAAATTGTCACGCATATTCTTGATGCCATGCATAGTGAGATCAACTGGTCTTTTGACAAGACAGACCACCTTCTCGAATCTCGCGGACACGGACACGGCGCGGTGGCCCGCTGAGAGCGCCGGCGCTGCCCCGAAGACGGGGGGATCTATTCGCAAGTTCCGCCACGTCCCGCGCGATTCGCGCAAACACCTTGGGGTCTCTACCGCTGTCGGCGGGCGTGGCATGGCTATAAGGACACACTTCATCGCGGTGCGGCCGCATGTGTGTCTCTGCGCCAATTTCCATCAAAGCGATTGCCCGTGCGAAGAAATGTCGGCGCCCATACGGTTTCGTTCATGCGATCGCTGATTGGGTCCGTTTTGTTTTCAAAATCCACGTCACCGTTGCTTTTGCGAGAAGCCTCAAATCTTTGAGTACAGCATTTCTTCGCGTGTATCGCAGAATCCTTGACGCACTGCGTATCGGCCCGTCTGAAGTCACCGGCCTTCGGGCGTTGGCGCAGAATGGAGCGCCGTCCGTGGATGATTGCATTTAGCGCCGCGGGCGCTTCAAGCATGCCGGGCGCGTCATGCGCAAGCGACCCCGATCAGTCATTGCCGTTTTTTCTTGGCAGGAACGGCAATTGTCTGCCATGGGTTAACCAGTTTCGCGCCGACTTCTGGACCCTTGTCGGCTTTTGCCCTGGTGCTTTCGCGCTTCCAGATTTCGACATTGATCCTGAGGCATGGCAGAACGCTGTGCAGGACGAGTCTGCGTGGCACAAGCATGTCGACGCCATTTTTTCATGAATCGGTCATCGATCGGACTCCTGCGTCTTCGGATTCCGCTGGCCAGCCCAAAGCTTTCGTGTGTTGCGACTGCGCAAACGCATTCGCCGACCAGAAAGACCTGGCACAACAACGGCGTATGAAGCATGGTGTGCGCTCTGCTGTGCGATCATACATTCCGACGTCAATCTGCCCCTCGTGCGACGTGGGTTCTCATGATCTCTATCGTTGTCCGGACCACTTGTCAGACCAGAGGCGGCCGAGATGCCGCCAAACTTTTCCTGCGACCACTCCTCCTCAGCTCCCTAATTCAAGTGTGAAGCAATTTGACGAGACGGATCGCGAGTTGCGCACGGCAGCCCAGCAGAGCAGCGTAACCCACCACATCGGTAGGGTCTGGTCGCCGCGTTGACGGCATAACGGTCGGCCGTTTAGCTTGACCGCTGCATTGTTGATAATTTTTGAGCCTGTTGTTGCAAGCCTTGGCGCATGCAAATCTTCTTATGTACACAGACATCCATATACATCTGCATATACGCATATATGTATAACTATGTGTGCAGACACTTGTGTACATGTATACCAACATAGAGGAAGGGAGGGAGGAGGGAGGAAGGGATATATAGAGAGATTCAGAGAGAAAGGGTTCGGGGGTTTAGTTAATGGACGAGTATATCCAGGATAGAGACCATGACGTGATCAGGGGTTGGAGGGAGGGGGCATTTTGGGTAACAGTCGTTATCGCGAATCGTTTAACACACATCGGCTCGTATGAGGACGACGGTCGACATCAATACCTGCCCATATTGATCAGGACGCGCTGGTGTCGCCGCGGGCGTTGCTGATTTGGGACCAACGCCGGCTGCCCAACAGCGGTCGCTGTCGGTTCTGGACAACGTTTGTTGTTGGGCAGCGTCCCCCTTATCTATTCGTGCCCATGTCGGGCGTGCTTGTTCTGAAGCTCTGGGCGAATATGAGGGAAACCGCCCGTATTGGTGAGTCAGGCTTCGGGTGTGCGTAGACAGCCTCCCCAGGTAGTCCTGGCCTGCCTCAAAAGCCTTCTGACTAGCATCGGGGGCGGCCAAGAGGGGGGTGATGACGAGGGGGGGTGGACATCATGGCATGGGCCATGATATTCCCTCAGATTTCATGGCACCTCTTCTGAGTTCGTTACGTCCCTGGCCCCCCCTTGTGCCGCGCACGTGCCGCCGGCCATGATTTGTGCCCCTCCCTCTTGGACGCCCCCCTCCTGTTCGCCCCCGATAGCAAGGCGGTCCCAGCACCCTAATATCCTCTCTCTCCACCTGTGGGAGATGGCGCGCCTTGCAGGGGCCCAGCATCGCTACACCCGCCCTTATACGACTGATGCGCATCGCTGGCTAGATCTTGCCAGCCTTCCCGCAGCATGGCAGCAGGGCTCCAAAACGACGTTGGCTCGACGACATGTTCATATTCATGCCAGGTCTGTAAAATGACCTAGATGCACCTAATACCGCAGTCATTATCTCATTTCCTGGTGCATGTGGGGCGCATGGTTTCATTCATGAGTGAATGAAGTGTTTCCCGGCGCTTTGGCCCCAGCCCGCGGCACCTACAGGGTGCGCAATGCGGGTCGCAGTCGCAGTCGCAGTCCTGTCGCATGGCATGAGATACCTGTTTCGCTCCATCGAAGGATACTCGATCTCCCCCTGCTGATCGTCATGGTGGTCGCGACCCTTCTCATCAATCCGCTGTCTTTTCTGGTCCTGATCGTGGTGCCCTTGCCCAGCCTGTCTCTTCGCTGCACCTGTCGTCCACAATTGGCAAGGAGGGGCAGCCATAAAGGCAAGGGGTTCTGAGGGAACTGGGCTCTGGACCATGGGGCTTTTCTCAGGATTCGAAAGAGAAATCATTCCACCATACATAGTCGTAATCTGTCAGAACCCCGTGCGGATTTCTTCGATCTGCGTTGGCCCCCCTGGTGGCGCCCTTGGCGCCGCACCTGGCGCACTCCGCGTGCCAGGGAGACAGGGGTCCAGCGTTCCAAGAACATCCGCGCGGACATCCTACCGTTTCTGTTTTTGCATTGCGTGTTTCTTATATGAATGATTGGGTTGTCTTGCAGCGCGCTTCACTGTAGTTTCTCTGAGTCCCCGCCAGGCCAGCTCGCGCGTCCGCGTCTTCTCAGCACACGATGCCTTGCCAGCAAAATTGTTGGCCATCGGCGGGGAAGTCCTGTCGAGGTTGGCAGCAAAGGAGCTGACAGGATCATGATCAAGAAACAGGGACTGAGGGTAGCGGCTCCACGGGCTTTTCGCCGTTTTCGCCCTCCCCGCGCCTCGGGAAGCAACAACTCAGGATGACACGTGGTCCTGGGGAAAATTTTGGGGTCCAATGCGGATACAAGAAATCTGTACGTACCTCCGATAGGCTATGTCAGTGCGTGCACGGGAGTGTTGAGAGAGTGAAATCGAGTGATGTTTCAATGGGCCGTTTCATAGTCTCTCCCTTTGTCTCGGTTTGCTTTTGGACGGTCTTCGACATCGGATACCTGCATTCCCAGCGCGCTGCCATTGGGTACGTCACCCTGCGTGCTGGAGGCGGTGTGCCCGCCTATCTGGCTCCCGCCCGACGAGCCCGACACGGATTGCCAGGCCTGCCCTGAGGCTGCGCCGAGCCCGAGCCTGCAGGCTTCTTGCCTGGCGGCCGTGGCAGCGTCGGATACGCCTGAGGAGGACCGCCTCTGAATGCCCCTCTCGGCGGCACCGGGAGTCCTAATGGCGCCCGTGGTGGAGGTGATCCGCTGGGTGCGCCAGCGGTGTGCAAGCCGCCGGGCGGTTGCGGGGAAAACGTAGAGGGCGTCTGCCATGGCGCTGCCCCTGTGCGACGGGGGGCAGGAGTGGTGGAGGTATACCTCCTGCTCGGCCACCGCCTCGTCGTGCGACCCGGTCGACCACGAGAGGCTCGCCCTGTACCCGAGCTTGCCGCTGGGCACCTGGGTTGGCCTCACCCCCGACGGGGACGAGTACAAGGAGGACCACACCGGCAATGGCCCGGAGACGGGTCTCGAAGGCGGCGCGGCCATGCCCATGGACGGCAGCACCCCGGCCGACCGGGCGCGACCAATCTACCGTTTCCGCGCCCCGGTGACGCGTGAGGAGCTGTTGGCCGCGATCACCCGGGCCCGGACTCTCGTGGAGGCAGCGTGCCCCGGCATCGCGCCGCCGCCGCCCCTGGAGCTGATCGGGGCCGACGAGCTGGTCCACGACTGGGACGAGTTGCTCCCGGCCCCGCGTCTGTTGCGCCGCCAGCAGCCTGACCCAGGCCATGCTCGCCCGCCGGGCGGCGGCAAGCCCATCGGTGATGACAATATCTGGGTGCTGGCAGAGCCTGCGGCGAGCGCTGCGGTGCACGACGGTGGACCCGCAGGAAGAGAGGTTTCACGCGGGCCCAGGCTCGTCCGCCTTCGTCGCCATCCCGGAGGGGCTGCGCCGGGTCGAGGCCGTCGACCCCGCCGCATTATCTGGGCACGCGGCCTGGCGGCGCACCGATCTGGGGCTGAGCGATTTCCCGGCGCCCGAGACCCCGCGGATTTGCGAGACCGCCTGGGCCAGCTCCGGCCGCGGCGGCGGAGATAGCCGCCCGTGTCGAGGCGCTGCCGCGCTCCCCGCGGCCGAGAGCGGGCTGGTGGCGATCGACCAGACGACCTTGTAATTATTGACTACGACCCCCAGGGTGAGAGGTTCACGACCTTCCGCTCGGCCTGCGGGAGTCCATTCAGGAGGTCTATGCGGACCAGCCCGCGGAAGGTTCTCCGTCGGCGCTGGTAATCCGCAAGAACATGGAGCGGGCGAGCGGCGACCCGAAGCTGTGGCTACGCGACCTCTGAAGGATCAAGGGCCTGTGGAAGAACGACACGGTGTCGCGCGAGCTGCGCGCCTTGTGCGACATCTTCAATTGGGCCGCGGTCTACGACCAGTTGAACCTGGTAGCGCTGATGAGCCTGGAGACCGCCGCCCGGCAGATCGCGGGCCTCGTGGCGGTCTACCAGGACTCCGCCAGGCCCGTGCGGGGCCGCGCCCGCCTGTGCGCGTGCGTCAGCGGATCGGGCGAGATCGCGGGGCAGGCGTTGCAGCAGTCCGCGACCCGCAAGATCGAGGGCAGCAGGAGGCCCAGAGCGCGCTCTCCTTCGGCGGAGCCAAGGCAGAGGGCATCCAGGGCGCAAAGGGCGCGGACGACGCCGGCGGCGGCTCGAAGGGCCCGCTGGCGAAGCATCCGCCGGAGACGGTGCCAGAGGGAAACGGCCAGGGGGTAGTTGACGCGCTCCCGCCCGGCAAGGGGCAATGACCAGCCCCACGGCCGGGGGGGGGGGCCTCCCAGGCCAGGGCCCAGGGGTGGCGCGAGGGCGGCATGCCGCCTCGCGCGTCGCCAGGGCGCTGCCCCGCTGCCTCGCTCGCACCGGCCGAGGGCCCTCGCGACCGACTCCTATTCGAGGTCGAGTGGAAGCGAGGGCGGCTGGCTAATTATCAAGATGGGCAACGTGGCGGTGGGCGCTTTGAACGGGCGGGCGGGTTTTTAGACAGCTTCCTCCGTTTTTCGAGCCTGGCCCGCTGCCGCTCGAAGTTCTGGAGCGGATCGGCGAGTTGGCCGCGCGGCGGTGCCCCGGCCCAGATGCTCTCGCGGCCGCGCCGTCAGCCGGCCGCTGCGCGGGCATTTCCCGGGCGATGGGGCGGGGTGCTTCGCCCGTGCTGCGCCCTTCCGAAAGGACCTCGTTGCCTTGCCCGAGACCGTGGAGAGCTGCCCGCCGTCTGAGATCGCGGCCCCTCCCGAGGGCTAGTGTCTCTTTGAGGAGCGCCCCGAGCGCTGGCAGCCCCATGGCACGCGCTTTGGCACGCCCCGTGGCAGGTCCCTGACACGTCCAGGGCACGTCTCCTGACGCGTCCCCTGACACGTCCCCTGGCGCATCCCCTGTTGCGCCCCTGGCACATCCTGTGGCGCGTCCGTGGGCTCGGATTTTGAGGTCGAGTTGGTTGGAAGTCCTCCACTTTTCCACTTCAACTAGCTCTGGTGCGGCTGCTATCTATATGTGCTCAGGTAGCTCGAGCTGGAACTCCAGATCAGTCCGGTCAGGACTGGAATGCCAAGTGGGACTCGATCCACAACGCTATACATAACAATCGCGGCATGGCACATCGCAATTCAGCGCGGCACAACACAGCACAGTCCTGGGCACGGTACACCATAATCGGTACATTGAGCATTGCAATTGCCCGTCGTCCGATCAGGTGTCTTGAAGACGTTGCCATGCCTCGCATCCCCATATCATTTTCCAGGTTTGTGGGTTGTTCATGTTAAAAGAATGCTTTACACACATATATAATTATATATATGTATATATAATATATGTATATATACATATATAGGGGGTGAGGGGTGAGATCGAAGTGGAACGGAGAGCCCCCCTACCGGGAAATCGTTTTCGGTTTCGTGTTCGTGCGTGCCGTGCGCGCGGGCGAGGCGAAGCTGCGTGGGCGGGCGAAAGGAAAGTCTCCTGTGGCTGAGGCGCGGCCGGACCACATGTGTCTCTTCCGGGCGGCCGGTGGCGCGCGGTGTCCCGCCGGTGTCCCGCTGGTGTCCCGTCAGTGTCCCTGTGGCTGAGGCGCGGCCGGACCAAATGTGTCTCTTCCGGGCGGCCGGTGGCGCGCGGTGTCCCGCCGGTGTCCTGCTGGTGTCCCGTCGGTGTCCCGTCGGTGTCCCGATGATGATGTGGATGATTATGGTGATGATGATGGTGATGATGATGGTGATGATGGCGATGATGATGATGATGATGATGATGATGATGATGGTGATGATGATGATGATGATGGTGATGGTGATGGTGATGGTGATGGTGAGGATGAGGATGATGATGATGATGCTGATGATGACGATGATGATGATGTTGGTGTTGCTGTTGGTGATGATGATGATGATGATGACGTCGATTGTGATATCGATTGTGACATCGATGGTGAGACCGAATGTGAGATCGATTGTGAGATCGATAGTGAGATCGATTGTGAGATCGATAGTCATATCGATTGTGAGATGATGGTTGTAATGGTGATTGTGATGATGATGGTGCCGAGTGAAAATTGCCGAGTGAAAATCGATAATGAGATCGATTGTGAGATCGACCGTGAGACCGAATGTGAAACCGAATGTGACATCGATTGTGCGATCGATTGTGAGATCGATTGTGAGATCGATAGTGAAACCGAATGTGAGACCGAATGTGAGATCGACTGTGAGATCGATTGTGAGATCGATAGTGAGATCGGCAGTGAGACCGAATGTGAGACCGAATGTGAGATCGATTGTGCGATCGATTGTGAGATCGATCGTGAGATCGATAGCGAGATCGATAGTGATATCGATGGTGAGATCGAATGTGAGATCGATTGTGAGATCGATAGCGTGATCGATTGAATGAGACGTTGGTCCCCCGTCCCCCCTCACCTCCTTATCACCCGCAGGGTGGTCGTATAAGTATATATATACAATCTTATACGTCGTTTCAGATCCTCCTCTTCTTCGCCGTCGCCGCCGTCGTCGCCGTTGTCACAGTTACGACGACAACGGATTGCTCACAATTGCGCGTTGAGATTGGCAACGCTATCGCAGGTTTCGTGGGGAATCTTCTACCGCATCCGCGTCTTGCTGCGGCCATCCTGGGAGCTTCCTCCCTTCATGCCGATTCCCGCTCCGCGCGCGCGGGACCTCCCCAGCAGCTCGTCCGACCCCAAGGCCGCCCGTGGGCCTCAAGTCCTCCTCCTCCTCCTCCTCCTCCTCCTCATCTTCCGCCTTCCGTAATTCTCATCCTCCCTCTCCCCCTCCAGGCGTTCAACGAAGTTCCGGGGCACTATTTTCCACGAGCGCACCCTGCAAGGGGGGGCTCTCGAAGGGCGCGCGGTGACCGCGCGCGTGGCGCAGGCGCGCCAGGGGAGCGCTGATGCATCAGGAGGCTCCCCGAAGGATTCATTTCTCACGCCGCCAGGCCCAAGAGCTCCTCCACCGCGCGCGACTCCGCTTCCCGCGCCCCATGACAGCCCGATGTTGCGGGCGAATCAACCGCAGTGGTGGACATGCCGTCTTCGGACGATTGGAACCTTGCGCTTGTGGAAAAGGCACGGTGCATCCGTGAAGTTGGCTTGCGCAGACCGCCCTCCTCCCTGACAAGGATGTCAAGGTGTACCAAAGCAAGGGCCCCTGGAACAGCTCACGCTCGTGCGCGCGAGCTTGCAGAAAATTCCGCTGCTCAAGGTGTGTTTGAATGGTAAACCGATAGCAGGGGCATAGAAGGCGCCCCACATGTGGGCCGAGGCGAAGCACGCGCACGCGAAACGGAGGGGGGCCGTAGTTGCGGACGAGGAGAGCGACGGCGACGAGGGGGACGAAGCGGATGACCCCATGTCGGCCCTGGTCGACGCCAAGAAGCAGGGCGCGACCCCGCCCGACGCCAAGAAGCAGAAAACGGGAACGAGCAAGGCGATGATAGGCCTGCCAAGGGGCGAGGCCCGAGAGAGAAAGGCGCCCACTGTGCATTCCGCACAGATGCCCGCCAAGAGCCGCCGAGAGCTTCCACGCGACACGAAAGTCCGACGCGCGCGCGGGCTGCCAGCTTCAAGCGGCGGGCGTCGTGGCTCGGCGCTGCAGACCCTGGGTGGTTGATCCACGTGGTCAAGGACGACCTGGGCTTCGGCGGTGTCTCCGACATCGGCGATGGCGACAGAGACGAGGCCGCAGTCGCGGACGGCGACTGGGAAACGGCGGCTGACCCCGTAACCCCGCAGGCGCGTCGATGGCCTCCCCGCGGCGCACGCGCAGGGGAGCGGGATTGACTTCGCCGTCGCCTGGGACTTCAATAGCGCCTGGGTCGCGACTGTCACGCGAGAGTGTGCCCACAAGGGCAAACATATCGAGATGGAGGTGCATAAACTTACGAGGAAGAAGTGGCAGTCGGCGCGGACGTAGAAGGGCGACGATTACGAGTGGGAGACCATCGCGCCGCCGCAGCAGAAGCCGGCGGCTCTGGACTTCCTTGAGCTCCAAGTCCCCAGTCTGTTCGACGGAGGCCCAGAGCCGCTCGGGCCGCAGTGGTGGCGAGGCCACTTGATCAGCGTCGGCAGTTGCGGGGTGGTTGAGGGCGCGTGTAAGCGCGGAGGGCGAGGCGGCGCGCGGAGGCAGGCGGAGGCCGAAGCGTCGATGCCGTTATCGTGTCCCGCGCGATGCACGGGTGCGCGCCGGAATGCGCCGTTTTCGAGAAGCATCGGGTGGAGCATCGAGACTCTGCGCGCGCGATGGTTGGGGTTTCCGCGCGGGCGTCGTTCAAACACATCCATATGTTTTCGATGCGTTCGTTGATCCGCGCCTGCATTTGCTCTTCCCTCCTCCTCTCCCTCTTCTTATTTCTGTAGCCCGCAGCCGCGTGCCCAGCCCGCACCCTTCGCCCCGCGAGCGCCCATGGATGTCCCCGTGGGGTGGCCATGGTATGGCTAGGAGGACGGAACTCATTTTGAGGTGGGGTGGCTCCCTTACGACAGTGGCGCTCCGCCGAGGAAAACGAAGCATGGCATCGCCGGGTATGCGAATATCTTGAGCCGCAGTAGCGATCAAACCTGCCCCGAGAAGATAAAAGGTGCACGCGTGCGCGGTTTTTCTGTGCCATCGAAGCGGCCGCTGTCGCAGCGCGCCTTTGTAGACCCGCCTGCACATCACTTGCGGCCGTCTGCTTGGCGACGGGGTGCGCCGCCGCCACCCGCAACTGTGGTTCCCGCGTCGCCAACAGCAGCTCCTGACGACACCGCAGTTGCGGTTCTTGCAGCTCCTGCAGAGAAGCACCAGCAGCACCAGCTGTTCCCGCAGCCCCTGCACCGGAAGCGCCCGCAGCTCCTGTGTAAGAAACCCCTGCTGCGCCAGCCTTTCCCGCAGCTCCTGCACATGAAGCACCCGCAGCGCGGACACCTCCAGCAGACCTTGCGCCCGAAGCGCCCGCAGCAGCAGTCTTGACAGTTCCTCCAGCGCGAGTGCGCGCAGCACCAGAGCCGCCTCCTGCGCAAAAGACAGCATGTGCGGCTGGAGCGCTTTAACGGGCAAGTGTAGCCTCGCCGCAGTTGCGGACATGTGCAGCGTGGTGCCGCACGTGCAAGGTGACGAACCATCATCTTCATCACCACCATCATCATTTTCCTCATCACCATCATAAGTGTTTGTCATACCCTCCCAAAGTGGCCGGCTGCATCGTAGACTGTCTGCTCAGCCGCCAGAGAGGCTTGGAGGCGGCTGAATTAACGTCGTCTTCCACACCGACCCAGCGAACTAATTGGGATACGGACACTCCCCTCTGCCTAAGTAGCTGTCGCCAAAGCGAGTAGCACGTGGTAGTAAACATGTATCCCACCAGGTGATCGTTTTTTGTTCATTGTTTTGCCGATCGGCGCGGGCCCCCAAAACCTCCCGCCCCCACACCCATGGAGTAGATGTTGGTTGTTTTTGGCGCCTGCTTCAAGCAGGTGGAGCCTCACCCCCATAGGACGCACTGCTGCAAACAGCCGCACCAAGCAGCAGTCCAGAGCCAGACCCCCCCCCTCCCCCCCTTTTTCCCGCCCAGTGTCGAAACGCCGAAAATGAAAACGCCCACCAGGTGAAACGAAACAGCCTGTCAGTGCGTGCGCGGGAAGGTCGGGATAGTGAAACCGATTGGTGTTTCAACGGGCCATTTCAAACAGGAGGACCTTGGAGTCCGTAGGCTGTCTCTTCGGCTCCCTCCCTCCCTGCTGTCCCCCTTCGCTCGGGCTGCTCTTCCAGGGTTCCTTGTTTTGTTTAGTTCTCGTCGAGACGAGGAGCACGAGGTAGCAAACATGTTCCCCGCCAGATGTAACTAAGGAGCCTGTTTTCGCCGATTGTTCTTCGTCTGCTGCATCCATTGCAGCAGTTTCGTATCGTGCCGGCGCGGTCGCGACCCCAGCTTGGGCGTTCAAATTCGAACTCCGCAAGTGGCCTAGAGTTGACCAGTCGTTATGGGACGGTCTGGAGGTCAGACAGCCGCCAGTCGTTTGTGGTTGAACGATCCACGCGGTGTCAGACACCGACGCCGAAACCGTCACGGCACGAACTTGCCGTAGAGTACGGCGTCGGCGGGAGCGATTGATTTCCCGGGGCGGCACACGTTCTTGCGAATGCCCAGGTGTTCACCCAGGGTGGCCCAGAGGGTTCCTTCGGCCAGCCGCGCACCTGCCGCACCTCGATTTCCGCCGTATGTGCGCTGCGCTACGCCTGCGCACGGGCGAAACGCTGAAATAGCCAGGTCACCCCCAAGGGGCGCGAAGATCATCGCGTTTTGCGCAAAGCGGCTTGTGGTGGAAACGGCACCCTTCTCCAGGGTACGCGAGGGCGCGGGCGAAGATAGACGCGAGTATCGCATTGCTGGGCGCGATGCGGGAAGTTTGGTGACCTGGAAATGCGGACCACTTTGGGTTAAGGAGTGTCTTTGGTATTCGGGCCGTTCCTCTGATCCAGATCCAGACTTGGTTCGTGGCCGAGGCCCGACGTGGCTAGCAAAGCGCCGTCGCTCCTTACTCTCACGATGCAACTCCTGGGACATTCATTCCTTGAGGCTTCGTGTATCCCCAACCAGCCCATGCAAAAACAATCACCTGGTGAGTTGCTCTGATCAGGGATGTGTAGCCGCACGTAGTCACGCTCTTGGAGTCATCATGGGGCCATCGTGGGGGCGGGGTGGCAATTCGGGAGGCCTTTGGGGCTCTTTTAGGCCCCTCTTAGGGCCCTCTTGGGGCCCTCCTGGGCTCTCATGGGGCCATGCTGAGAGCCTTGAGGAGCCTCTTGGGGCCATCCTTGGGGCCATCGATCGAAGAAGAGGGTGGCTTTGACTAGCCCTTAGGGCCGTCTTGGACCCCTCTTGAGCCTTTCATTATTGGGGTTTTTTGGGCCATCTTGGAGCTATCTTGCGATTTCGGAAGGTACTTTCATGTTGCAGGATGTTGTCTTCTGAACAATCGTTTCATCCCTGGGTCGTTCTCGGACGGTCCAACGGCAGACAAGTCGCGAATGTTGTTGCATCGAAGGGATTTCAAGGGACACATTCGGCGCTCTGATCACCTCAGCCGCCCAGTGCCCCAATCCGAGGTGCCCGCGACGGTGGCCATCGAACTCCACTACGGGGCCGCCATGCGTGCCGCCTTTTGCGCCCCGCTCGGCTCCGACTGGATAGGCGCCGCTCGGCCCGCCTTGTCTCTTGCAGCGCCGAGGGAGGGTGACAAGTTCAGGGACAACGATCGTGGGGATAGGCTCGGGACGGCCCTCAATAGCAGTTTTTCAGGGTATAGGCTCAGCTGGGGAACGTTATCCACAGTCCCCCATAGTGTTTGGAAATTTTCGGGGCCCGGGGTGGTTTCCATCAGCTGCGCCTTGTTGAGGGCATTCCAGGGGAGCCAGAATCGTCCCGAAAGGCCGCCAGGCAGCCGACGTGTGACCCTAAAACCCAGGGGCAACGATAGGGGAGGAGATGCTCCGGGAAGGATGCGCCGACCCCAAATGTCCATGGAACGCCGATAGGGTGCCGATCGCGATCGCCTACCTCGCCCAAGAATGTGCGGTTTCGCTATCGGGGGGGTGTCGCCGATCAGTCGGTGATGCATCGGCGATTCCAAGTCGATGTTTCCCCCGTGAGCCAGTCCATCAATATCGTTGCCTCTCAAAGTCCTGGAATGATGTCCTCCTCGATGAATCGTCCTCCTCCACTGTCCTCTCTCCTCCTCTCCTCCTCCCCTCGTCCTCTTCGGAGACACATCGACAGAAGCGTAACCTGCCAGTAGTCCGCACGGACTTCTTGGGTCGGCAGATCCCGCCTGTCGGCGCCCCCAGCGTCAACACTGGCGCGCTCCGCGCGCCTGGGAGGGGGGTTCCAGCGCTCCCGCCCCACCAGGGCCGTGAGAGAAGCTTTCGAACGGTTCGGGCTGAAAGGCTAGTCTTGGAGAAGGGGTGGAGGTCCTCGGGGCCTCCCGTCACGAAAACTCTGCGTCGTCGGAGGGGGGATCGTGTGAAAACCGTCCCTCGGCCTGGGGGGCCTTGAGATTGGCGCCAGCACCAAGACCGACTGTCGCTTCAGGCTTCGCCGAGGGAACGGGGACCCTTGGGTCTTGTGCTGCTGGCATTATTCATGCCTCTCACAAGCCCACCTGCTGTTACCAAAACAGAAGCATCGGGGATCATCTTCCTTCGGGGGATGCGACCGCGGATGTTTGCGTTTTTGTTTAGGACTCTGGCGATGGTGCTCCTCAGGGTGAAGTGTATCGGGCAACGGGTATTCGGTCGCACGCGATAGTGGCAGGCACCCGTGGCGAGCGCCGGCGGCAGACGAGGACAGCATGGACGCGCAGCCTTGGAGAAGCATGCACCCCGCCGTCACGGGTAAGTGAGGGGGCGGCGGGGACGTCTGCAGTGTGCGAGGCTCTGAAGAAGCCCGCCGCAGGCGCCTAAGATTTACAAAGTATACAACGAGGCCGCCGCAGGCGCCGAATTGTTCGTTGGAGCAGTATGGGTGGGTCGCGGCGTGGGTCGCGGGGGGGTCGCAGGTTGGGTCGCGGGCTGGGTCGCTGTCTGGGTCGCGGGCTGGGTCGCGGGTGGGTCGAGGGTGGGTCGCGGGTGGGTCGCGGGCGGGTCGCGGTGTGGGTGGGTCGTTGGCTGGGTCGAGGGGGGACGATGCCAAACAACAACAGCAACAACAACCACACCCACAACCACAACAACAGCATACACAACAACACTGACACCAATATCAACAACGACCACAACACCAACACCAACACCACCAACAACACCGCCAACAACACAAACAAACACACAACAACACCAACCACAGCAACAGCAACACCAGCAGCACCAACAACATCAAGAATCCGCATCGCGGAATCCCGCTTCAGCCACGCACCGAGGGACATTGAATGACCGTTCACTCTGATTTACATCTTGAGCTTGACCAGAGGGCGACACTACTCAGGGCGCTGCTGTGGGGTCTAGGTTCTAGCGCTCTGTTTCTGTTGATGCGGTGGTATTTGTAATGCATGAACGTTTCAGCAGGTTGTCCAGGTGAGCGTGGCAGCATCTGAGCGACGCAGGAAAGCTGGGTTCACTATGGGGACATTCGCGCGTAAGTTGCTTGCGTAAGATGGCGTGTCTGCGCCATCGTTTCCAATGCAGAGAGCAGCGCTGGTGGCGCGCGTAATCTATCGCGTAACGTCTCTATGTCATCGCCGCTCATATGGATTTCCAGCAGACATATCGGAGAAATAGAGAGAGAGAGAGAGTGATAGTTTAATTCGCGGGTCTGGTCTTGTCCTGTGTCCTTTGCATGTTGCACCCAATCGTGTTTTTATCCAAGACGCCTACGACACATCACCGTCGCCGCGAGCCCCCTGCCTTCGGGAAGAGCTTATGTGGCCGAACGTTGCGGCCAGAGCTCGGCCACGCTATCGGACTATGTGTTCCCTCCAGCCGTTGTGAAAACACTTCGGGGAACACAACGGAGAGAAATAAGATGAGGAGGAGTGAGGGAATAGAAGGAGGAGGAGAAGGAGGAGGAGGAGGAGGAGGTGAAGGCCTCTTGCGAGCCTCTTGGGGCACTCTTGTGACCTCCTGGGGGCCTCTTGGAGGCCTCTTGGGGGCCTCCTTGGGCCTCTTGGGGACCTTTGAAGGTTCTTTGGCCGTCTGAGTTCGTTCCTGGCCCGTCGCTGTCGGAAGCCGTCTTGGCCCCCTCTCTTAGAACACCTGGGGCCCTCTCGGGGCGTTCAGGACCGTCTTGGGACCCATGTTTTGCGTCTTGGATATCTCCTGGCGGGGCCGTCTCAGGGCTCTCTTGCTGTCGGCTTGGGGGCCTCCTGGCCCTAAGATCTGTCAAATACCGAAGGAACATCATTGCGATTGACCTGTTCGGGAATTCACGGAGGACCTCTTGGACGCCTCCTGGAGGCCTCTTGGGCCGTCTTGGACCATCTTGAGGCCATCTTAGGCCGTTTTGGAGGCATTTTGCGGCTACCTCTGGCTCTCTTGAGCCCATTCTGGCAGTCTTGGAGGCCATTCTGAGCGTCTTGGGGGCTTCTTGTATTATGTGTGGGCCCTCTCTGGGCCGTCTTTGGGGCCAATTGGGCCGTCATGGAGCCATCTTGGAGGCCTCGTTGTCTTGGGGCGATCTTGGAGACCTCCCGCTCCCCGTCGGGATGAGGATCTTGATCAAGGACTCGTCAAGCTGTACCATACATCGTGGGCGACAGACATTGTTTGCGCGGCGAGGAATTCCCTGAAGGAGTCTCAAGTGATTCGTAAATATTGCATTTTTTTGTAGCACGTCCTATGCGGCGGCCCGCGGCTGTGACCGCTTGGCCGGCCGCCAGGCTGTGGGTCGAGCCGGCTCGTCTGGTTAGCCTGACTCGCTCGTTGTCGCGGGCTTCCCACGCTGCCACCAACGCTGGGCTCTGTACTGGCAAAGTCGACATGATCTGGGTGCGGCAAGCCGGGCGACGGACATATCCGTATCCGCGGCCTCGTGGGCTTGGCCCCTGGGCCGCGACCGTGCGGAAACGGGGTGTTTCCTCTGGGATGCGCCTCGCGGGACGTATCCGTGCGACCGCGTATGCGCGGGATCGCTCCCTGGAGTCCAGATTGCGAGGGCGCGGATACGGACATGGCCGCCGCTCGTGAAACCCGTCAAGCTGTATCGCATACACGTGAGTCACGCATCAACGCATCCCTCTCTCTGCTGCAGGGCGACCAGCGCATCGAGTCAACACCCCACATGGACGCCTCCGTGCGAGCTCGAAGACCTCGGAGCGGCCAGGGCCCCGGCAGGAGGGAGCACCCTCCTGCTCCTCCTCCCGATCCTCGCCCGCGCCGCTCGCTCGTCTGCCGTTGCCGTTTGTCCTCGCCGCCGTCGTTCGTCGTCGTCGTCGCCGTTGTTGGTGGCCGCCTGCGTCCCTCCCTGCCTCGATCCCGCGCGCCCTTTCGGGGCGCGCGCGTGGTCAGTCTGGAGTCTCTGGAGTTTCAGAGAACCGCTCGCTTAGGATGGAACTCCTGGGAGAGTAGATTCAGCATCGGCGCTGGTACATCTGTTGTTGAAAACCGTCCCAGTCTTTCTCCCGCGTACGACATGTGGTTTAGTCTTGGCTAGATCGGCTCATCCCGAGCGCAATCTGACACAATCCGGCCTGATAGCCCCTTAGTCTGTCTGAGTAGTTTTGAATCGTTCTTACGAAGACCCCCCAGGATGTGTCTCCAGACTCAGACATCCGATGGTTTGTTTTCTTCCATGCGGGGCGCCTCGAAGTCCCAACTCTTTCCTCAGGGTCGGTTTCTCGTCTTGAGCAGTTTTTGACGTGCCCAGGGCCCGCCGAGGGCCCTGGGAGGCCGACGACGGTGAGCAGAAACCCGCCGCCGTATTTTTTTCCGAAGCGGGAGGATCTCGGGGCTCCTGGCGTTCCAGAGGTCCGCTCCCCGCGCGCCGAGAACTCTTCTGGCTGTACTCCGACTTCGCGCGCGTCGTCGGTGCGCTGCCCGTGTCCGTGGCCGTCACCTTCGTGGGCGCCGCCGCACCGCCCCGGGCGCGCCTTCGCGGGGGGGCCGCGCTCGTGCCTCCCAGGGGCCGGCTCTCCCGTGCACGCCCCTGGCGTTGCAAAAAGGTGCCCCTCGGCATCGTGTTGCAGTCGGACCGTTGTGCAAGATCCAGGTCGGTTCGGGGAGGGTGCTCTAGTCTTCTTCGTGCGTGTCGGATGTTTTTGTGCCTCCCTGGGAGCGCGCCCTTGGACGTTCTGTGTGTTTTGGCTGGCGGAGGGTCTCGTGTTCTGGAGGGATATTGCTCTGTCCTAGGTTCGGCTGTAACCGACCCCTGTCCCCATCCCCATCCTGAGCCCCACCATCACACCACCCCAGTTGGGGACGTGCCCCTCGAAGCCCGAAGGGAACAGGCTACATCCCCATCCAGTGGGAGAAATCGGCCAGTGCAGCCAAGGCCACGCTGGTGGGGACAGGGATCGGTGAAACGACGCTCCGTCCCCGCTCAGGGTGTCCACCGACGTCTTGCCGTTGTGGACACGCCACGTCGGCCCCCAGAGTTCCAGAGAGCCTCTCAAGAGGCCGAGAGGGCCCCAGGGACTCCAGAGTGGAGCGGAAAGCTGGGAGCACCTTGGGTCAGGGACACCTTTGGCAGCCCACCCCCCTAGCGTCGAGGGTCATCAGCACGCCTCGGGTTGGGCGTCGCGGCAAGGCAGATCACGCCGGGCGTCTCTGAGTTCCGCGGTGGGCCCCAGGGCCCTTGCGGACAACCCGCCCGAGGGCATGGGGCAGCAGCATGGAGATCTGGTGCTTTGGCGATGATCTTGTTGATGACGAAGTTGCCCCCCTCCCGTCGTCGTCGGCGTCGGCGTCGTCGTCGTGGTCGTGGTCGTGGTCGTGGTCGTCGTCACCGTGGTCGTCGTCGTCGTCGTCGTCGTCGTCGTCGTCGTCGTCGTCGTCGTCGTGTTGTCCCCCCCCCTCTCTCCGCCTCATCCCCCTCCTGTCGTCGTCGTTGTCGTGTTGTCCTCCCGCCTCTTGTCACAAGGCTCATCCTGCGCTGGTAAAAAACACGTGGCCGCTTAGCGGTATGGTCTAGACTCTGATGCAGTCCTGTTGCGATGTAGGCGTTGGCACGGCTGCACAACGAGGATCAGTATGTCAGAGTAGAAGCAGATTCACACGCCAACCTCCCCCACAATGTTGCAGCATGCCACAAATCCGTTACGGTGCGCACCATTTGCCCGCCTTGAGTTCATCGACGTTAGAAAGCAATTGTGTGTATGGCGTAGTTGTGTGTGTGTGTTTTGACGGGACTGAAGCACAAGTTAAGCAGTCGCAACTTGTGTTTTAGCGCGGGCTCTGAGTCCGAGGCGGGGGTTTATCCATGCCCACCGCCTGGGGGGTCGACCTTCGGGGACGTCGGCGGGCGGTGTATATGGATATATTCGGGCCCCTCGGGGGCCTAAACATATCCACATCCGCCGCCCGATGGGTCCCAAGGACGTCGGTTCCCAGGTGGTGGATATGTACAGATCCCGCCTCGCAGCTAGGGATCTGGTGGAGCTCCGTGACCATTCGCACCGGCTTCGCGTCCAGAGCTGGGCCGTGGTCGTCGTGGTGAGAGGCTCCTTGGGGAGGCGGTAGGAGGGGGAGGGGAGGGAAGGCGAACACGGGGTGAAGGCGAGAGGAGAGGGGAGGGGAGGGGCAGCATGGGAGGATGGGAAGGATTGCCGGATGGCCTTGCCTTGATCGTTGGGGCTGTTTTTTTGTGGTCTTGCTTGCTGAGACCACTGCTTGGGTCTGTTCAGGCAGGGGCAGTCCAGGCAGTCGGCATTTTGTTAGCATTTCGTGCGCGGCCGTTGCTACAGTGACTTAGGCTCTGGGGAGAGACGAAATGAAGTCAGGATGGCGGTGGGAGGACACGGGATGGACGACGTGGAAGACGAGGTGAGGGGAGCCAGCGGAGGGAGGAGAGGGATGGGAGCGAAGCCAATTCTCTCCCTCCCCCAGGTACTCTCCAGGCGGTTCGGTCCATGAGGGCTTGGGTCCGAAACGGGGCCTGCAACTTGCCCGCCGCGGTTTTCTCACGTCGTCCTGATCTGATGTTCCTCTGACGTGCGCCAGCGGTGGCTCAAGGAGGTGTATGGACGTCTGGGGTCGTTTCCAAAGGCTTTGGGGTGTTTTCTTGGGGCGCCAGTGCATTGCGCCAGTGCGGGCCAGAGTCCTTTCCTGACATTGCCCCAGTGCGGGCTAGAGCCTTCCGACATCAAACGAGCTGCACTGTCGGAGAGCCGCGAACGCTGAATCAGGGGCAACGTTAGGAGGGGATACGCTCAGGGGGAACGCATCGACCCCCGAGTATCACCGATAGGGGCTTCCCACTCCTGCTGGATTTGCTATCGAGGTCCTACCGCCGATTTATCGGCGATGTATCGCCGATTCCAGCCCGATGCCCCCCGCCCTCCACCCTCCTGAGCCAGTCCTCCGCCCAACGAGGCCCCTCAGCGATCGAAGGATCTGCGCTGGGCCGCTAAGGTCTGGCGAGTCTGGCGGTGGAGTCTGGGGGGCGTGCAAAATCTGCTGCATACAGCTGGTTTCGGCCAAGCCGCCGAGCGCTTTTTCCTCGATGCATCGGCGCCTCCGACGCCAGGAGGCGCCAGAAAGACTGGCTGCGTGAGCTGATTGGCTGACCCCCCGTTGCTATCCCCCCGTGTAACGCCCGATCCGACCGGAAACGGCATCCTCCGGTAAATGTCAAACAGACCCGTGGCCCCAATGCTCCCGACCACTTCCATGGGGGTATATTTGCGTCCACGCCGCGAATGAACAAGTCAAATTGCGTCGGAGGTTTGAGGAGGAGGGGTGCCGAGGACAAGCGTGATCCAAGCGGGCCCCTTCGTCGCCCCTTGCTCTCAGGTGCGGCCAAGCGGGGGTAGTGTCCAGGCCAGGTGTGTGTGTGTGTTGTGTAGTTGGTTATGGCTGCCGGCGGCTGCGAGGGTCTCGGAGTGTTCGGGCGGGCCCAGACGCGCGCGTGCGCGCTTCACTGCTCTCTGACCTGATGCGCCATGTCGCCGCGCGCAGGGCCGCGACGCAGAAATAATGTGTGCGTACACACATTTCCAGATGTATCCATGCACAGCCCCCGCCCCAAGACCCATTCATTTTGCAACGGTCTTTGAGCTCTCCATTCGTGCTCTTACTGATCATCCGCCCTCTTTTCATCCGTGCCTGCTCTTCCATCTTTCCTATTCGTCATGCTCCACTCTTTTATCGTACTGGGATCTACTTGGAGCAGCCGGACTTGGGATGAGTTAAACTGTAAGTATTGCTCGATACCAGTAGGGGTCCAATTGGACACAGCTGCAGCTGGGATCCACTCAATTCCAATTCGAGTAAACTTCGACTCCAATGTATCACCGTTACGAACATTTATTCATCTTGGAAGAAATTGTCATGCCTGGGCGCTATGGTGTGGAGTAGTATGGGAGTGTGTGTATGTGTTATGTCATGCGGGAAGATATTCATAATTGCGTGGACGTGGCCGGGAGTGACTTCCCCCTTTTGAATTTGCAGGGGGAGAGATTGTATTCCGAATGGGTTATAGTTTATCCACAGTACACCAGGGAAAACCCTGGAAAGCTAAGGTGGAAGGCTGCCGTGCAAAGATCCTACGGGGTGAGGGGGGTTCCCACTCAGAGACGTCCTAGTCGTCAGTGCCCAGGACGAAACATTTTCGTAGCGTGTACGTAGGAATCAAATTGGAACCCGCTGGATTTGGGATCTGCTCAGTTTCATCTAGACTTTCAGTCAATTCCAATAGGAACCCGATCGGAATCAGCTGGGTCTGTGATCTGTCCAGTTCGAATTAGATTCTTAGGCTTACGCCACACCGCCGACCCCTTGTTTATGCCAATCTGGGGGTAGTAGAAGCTGCGAAGGGGTGAAAAGGCGAGTGATATTTGTTTGGTGTCTGTTCGCCGCCACCGCCAGAGGGTCTCGGGCAGTTCCGCGGGGGGGTCCGAGCGGACGGCGACACCGCGGGCGGTCGTGGTCTCATCTGGGGCCATCTGAGAGGCATAATGGAGCCAGGTTGGGCTCGGGAATGTCTTCGAGCCGTTTCGGTAGCGGTCGGGAGTTTTTTTGGGGGACTGCCCAGGAGTCATGATGGGTCAACTTGGCCATGTGCGAGGCCACGGCGCGTGCAAAGGGTGTGCCGGCATGGGGCCTATGGCAGGCAGTTTGGAACCACTTGGGGGCCCAGGTGGAGGAAAAGGAGGAGGAGGAGAAGGGGGACACGGAGAAACGGCTCTGGGTTATGGGTTATGGGTGAGAGGCTTCTTGTATGTGTATCGGGATCTCGCGGATCGCTTCTCGGGGGCCTCTGGAAGCGAGTTTTGGAGCCACTTGGGGGCCGTTTCGGAGCCTCTGGGGTGCTTCTTGGGGGTTCCTTGGGGCGTCTGGGCGGCCTCGTGAGGGCCTCTGGGGGCCTCTTGGGGCACTCTTGGGGCCCCCTGGGGCTCCTGGGGGCAGAAAGCTAGAGTTTCAAAATGTTTGGTCGCCGTCTTGGGCCCCTCTTGGTGCCGTCTTGGAGCCCTCTTGGGCCGTCTTGGGGACCTCTTGGGCCGTGTTGGGGCCGTCTTGGGCCGTCTGGAGGCCGTCTTGGGGGCCTCTTGGGCCATCTTGGGGCTGTCTTTGGGGCCTCTTTGGCTGTCTTGGAGCGTCGGGAAGCCGAAAAGGCGGAAAAGCAAAAAACATAGAAAAACATTATGGAAAATCAACAATTTTAGACTCTTGGGGCCCTCTTGGGAGGCTTGTTTGGGACCTCGGGGGCCGTCTTGGAGACCTCTTGGCCCGTCTTGGGGCCATCTTGGGCGTCTTGGAGCGGTCGTTTGGCGTCTCGGGGCCTTCGTGGGCCGTCTTGGAGGCCTCTTGGGGGCTTCTAGGCCCGTCTTGAGGCCCTCTTGGGCCCGGAAAAGCCCCGTGAACCGCTCGTCCCGGCCGTGCTGCGCTCGTCCCGGACCCCCCCCGCT